TTTGGAAAATAACTTATCCCCAAGTGGGACTCGAACTCGAGCCTGAAGAATATTCAATTAATAATATTAATATCACAGTTCGAAGAAATCAATAATATTAATATATAAACACACACTGGGCACAGTGAATATATGTACATGTTTAATGCAATGCTATTGATTCACGACTGAATAGGATCAACAGAAATAAACAAAAACATACAAAAACAACAGGTGTTACTTAATTGCTAACTGACAGTTGGCTAAAGCAGCGAAAAAGAGTAATGATAGATAAGAATACAACACTGAAAAAGCTCGTAAACTTCGATCTAACTCAATAAAGTAGAATGAAATTGGAATAAGGACTTGGTTACAATTCCCATATTCCATTTCTTCAACAATTGTGAGTTAAATAGATGATGTTAACAAGTGACATAGCATATGGCACAAGAAGATTGCTGATGAGGAGCCGTAGCGGGCCCGAAAATGCATTCCATTCTGCTGTTGTGTCCGAAAAATTAAATTTTCAGTATTCTTATAATTAAAAATATCATTACAATTTGGAAAATAACTTATCCCCAAGTGGGACTCGAACTCGAGCCTGAAGAATATTCAATTAATAATAGTAATTTTCAATTTTAGATTTTTTTAAATTGTATGCCACATATAATGCACTAAAAGTCGTTTTGCAGACCAGAAATACTCTAAAAATAATTTTAATTATTTTTAACGCCATATGCTCAAATTTACGAACTATTTGGGACCCATATCGAAAAGGTTGCAGAAATGTTTTTGTACTGAAATCAAGATTTTCAATCACTGGTCGAGAACTGAGAACGTTTAAAATATATATGTATATGTACATCCAAAATTTATATGGGGAATTTCATGTCAAGTGACCCAACTCAAAAAATCGATTTCGACGAAATTTGCACTAAAGTTAGCATTATTGGATAGTAGGTCAGATACACATTTTCAGCTCTATCGGTCAAGAACTGCCGGACTTTGAGGTCAAAGTTAGACATTTTGGTCATATAGGGTTTTATTCAAATGAATGTAACTTTTCACCTATTGGTTCTAGCAAAAATTTTTCAAAGGAGTTCAGATAGCTATTTCTTCATTCTTTCCAAAAAAAAAAAAATTTAATTTTTAAATTAAAAAAAAATATATATTTTTTAATATTTTTTTTTAAATGGCCCTTTTTATTTTTTTGCTTAAAAAAAAGTTATACAATTTTCTTAAAGGGGTTTATAGTCCCATAATTATTTTTTTTAACACCAGAATAATTTTCGCGTACTTTCCAGTTAAAAATATTTAGTAACTTTATGCGTTATCGGTATTTTGGCTTATTTCGGTATTGATATTTTAGCGTTATCGGTGGTGTACAAAAAGTATATTTTAGCGGTAATTTCAGTATGATTTAAATAACGAACAAGTATGAAAGTATAGTCGGACATGGCCGACTATATTGTACCCTACACCATGGGTATATTTTAAAAATTATTTATTTTTCATTAAAACTATTATGTTGAATTTTACCTTAATTCCGACGTATTAAAGCAATTTATTGATGAAAAACAAAATTTTTAAAAGAAGCTTTATATGGGAGTCAGGTTCAAATATGGGCAGATCCTCAACAAATTGGGAAGAGGGATGTTAGTTACGCAGAATTTCATCACTAATGGTTACAAGTCCATTTTTGAACGTTTAAGATATTTTTTACAGGGGGGTTGTATTGGGGGCGGCCGATCATTAAAAAAAATTGGCATAGTCGTTCATGCCTATATACATTTTTGGTGAGATAGTAGTATATTTGGCATAGTTATGAGTTAAAAACCCCAAATCGGAAGGTGGTGGGGTAGTTGAATTAATGGACTTTGAACTTTGTCACTGGTATCTTCTTTCCTAGGAAGCAGGGTTCAGTATACGTAGAAATTTTTATCTTTCTTGTGAAAAGACAGATTTCCGTCTTCGCCGGGTTAACATTGAGGCCTCTCGGTTGAGCCCAGCTCAAGGCCGTATTCAGAGCCTCCTCAGCTCCTTTACATAAGTTATTTGGATCCTTTCCATTTAAAAGTATTACGACATCGTCTGCATAGCAGTTTTAAGTCCTTTATCAGTTAGGGTCCGTAGGAGGCTATTAATCGTGATAACCTAAAGTAAAAGTGACAAAATGCCACCCAGTAGTATACCGCGAAATACCTTTTTCCTGATAGTTATATCGTACATATCGCAGCTTATCCATCTGTTCCTTGTAGTAGGCTGGTTGGCTGTCCATGTAAACCTTGTGCGCAAGCTACAAGATGTTTTGATAAAATTTCGGCACAAGGACTATTGAAAATGGTTGAAATCGGTCCATTATTTATCCTAGTCCCCATACAACCAGACCTTCCGATTTGGGGCTTTTAACTCAAAACTACGTCAAATATACTACTATCTCTCCAAAAATTGGCACAACTAAGTTTTATATAGGAATAAATGCAAACCCGATTCGGCTATGCCGAATCTTAAATACCCTCCACCAGCAAGCTACTTTTTATTAAAACCCATTTAACTATCTAATTTTTAGATAACTTTTCAAAATTCTTGTTTCCGTAGTGAGGGTACTAACATTTATGCATATGTGGAACTAATTTCGATTAGGTTCATAAAATTTTATATTAAAAGGCCAGTTGCAAACATTTTAATATAATGATTTATCTATATACAAACATACTATACTCATGTCGAATTTTATCTGGATATAATCATTTAATAATGAATTAAGTGGTATTAAGTGATTTTCAGAAGTAAAATTCCGTATAACGATTTATATATACAAAATACACATTTATGTCGAATTTGATCCCGATGACTTTGATTGTCAATGTGCGTTTAAGTAATTTCGGAAATGATCTTTATATGGGAGTTGTGACCAATTATGGACCTATCAAGAAAAAATTTCGTATAATGATTTATATGCAAACAAAAAATTCAAGTCGAATATTACTCCAATAGATTTATTAATGAATAAATTACGGGCCTCTCCAGAAAAATTTCGTAGAGTGATTCAAATGTATGTACACAAAACATATTTGTGTCGATAGCTTTATTTGACAATGAAATATGTGAGTTTAAATGATTTTCGGAAGATGGCCTTATATGGGATCTATGACCAATAATGGACCGATCCGGGGAAAATTGGTAGAATGATTTATATGTATACAAAACATATTCAAGTTGAATTTTATACCGATAGCCTTATTTATCAATGAAACATATGCGTTTAAGTGATTTTCGGAAGTGGACCTTATATGGGAGCTATGACCAATTATGGTCTTATCCGAAAAAAATTCGTAGAGTAATTCATATATAGACGAAACATATTTGTGTCGAATTTTATCCAGATACCTTTATTTGACAATTAAATATATGCGTTTAAGTGATTTTCGGAAGTGGGGGTTATATGGGAGCTACAAATAATAATGGACAGATCCGAAAAGAAATTTGGTAGAATGATTTCTATGTACACAAAACATATTCAGCTTGAAGTTTATCAAAAAAGCTTTATTTATCAATGAAATATGTGCGTTTAAATGATTTGTGGAAGTGGACCTTATATGGGAGCTATGACCAATTGTGGACCGACTGAGATCTACGTTGGTAGTATGATTTCCATTCATATTATAATTTTATGTACAAAATTTTTTTTGTGTTGATGCATATATATTTGACGATAAACTAATTTCCGGGAATATACACCTTTATATAGGGGCTATGGGAAATATTAGATCAATTGAACACACTTGATCCCTGGCACAAAAAAATAATGTGTGGTAAAATTCATCGAAATATCTCTGATAGTTTCTGAGAAAACTACTCAAGTATTGGGAATAAATTGTTATTTTTTCGAGGTAGTCTGAAATTTTTACTCATAACTTTTTACATCTTAAACCAATTTTACTGATTTTCAATACCAAACTGTACCGGATAATAAAGAATGTGTTGGGTGAATTTTCGTGCTTCATTTTAACGTGAGCGTGTTTTACACAGACAGACGGAAGGACGGACAGACGACTCAGAATTTCATAAGGATCAAGAATATATGTATATACTTTGTTGGGACAAAGTTATATATAAACTCCATCACCACTGATGGTGGTGGAGGGTATAAAGATATCTTAAACGTCCAAAAATTGATTTATAACCATTAGTATCGCGATTAAACTCAGCAATTCAGAAATACATCCCTCCTTTTTTGATGGTGGGTATAAAAAGAAGGTTGCTATTGTTTGGGAAAGAAATGAAAAATCGACAGTGATGTTAACAATATTAATAAAGTAAATATTTACTTACTCTTTCGAAATTTTATTTCTTTTTAATAAAATATCAGTATTGGTATTTTAGCGTTATCGGTAATTTAGCTTATTTAGGTATTGGTATTTTAGCGTTATCGGTATTTTAGCTTATTTCGGTATTGATATTTTAGCGTTATCGGTATTTTGGCTTATTTCGGTATCGGTATGTTAGCGGTAAAGGTAGTTGTGCTGAAAAGGTACTTTAGCGGTAACGATAGCTTAGCGATAACGGTTGCCAACCTTGCTATAAAGCCCATTAAGGAAATTGTATAAGCTTTCTTTTAAGCAAATAAATAAAAAAGGGCCCATTTTGAAAAAAAAAAAATTAAAAAAATATTTGAAAGAATGAAGAAATAGCTATCTGAACTCCTTTAGACAATTTTTGCTAGGACCAATAGGTGAAAAGTTACACTCATTTGAATAAAACCCTGTATGACCAAAATGTTCAACTTTGACCCCCTCTGACTCCGGGAGTTCTTGACCGATAGAGCTGAAAATTAATGTCCTTCCAACTATCCCATAGTAGTCGATTTTTTAAGTTGGGTCACTTGACACGAAATTCCCCATATTTATAAAATATCTATAATTTACTTTTATTCAAATAAAAAATTACACCTATGCATTAAACCTATCCAAGTCTAAAATTATATAATTCTATTTTTTTCATATGGATTTGCGACTTACCTCATAAGTAGCATGTGTACAATAGTTTGCTCGCATTATTTTTCGTTTGTAATTTCCTCCTCTGTCATTTCATCCTCTTCGCTTTTATTATGCTCGGAGAGCAGGTCATTGCATTTGGTATTGTTTGTTAAAATCATATTGTTGATGTGGGCAATTTGTATTTTACGCCGTAATTCTCTCCATTTATTGCTAGAAGCTGCTATCGTAAGAGCTGATCTGGTGTGTCGATTTTTCATCATCGCTCGAGTCCTATAGTTTAGGGGCTAAATTAGTATGTGACAATTGAAGAGCAGTTATGTGTTGGAAGTAAGGATGTAGGATTGTGGAGATAATTGGTAGGGCAGGGAAAAGGCGGGTGGTTGTTTAGATAAGGATGAAATAATAATAAAAAAAGAATCCAATAACAATTAATTAATCTATTCTACAATAAAAACAAAATATAAACTTAAATTAAACCATCGAAAACTATCAAACAAAAACTTTTTATATATTTAAACTAGTATGTTTTTGAAATAAAAAAGAAACTAGCAAACCATTTCATAGAGAATAAAATATGTTCAGGAATTTTAAAAATTCTCTTCTTATGAAAGTTGTAAAAAGGTAAAATAATAAAAAATAACAAAATAAGTTTAGTTTAATATGTAATAAATAATCGAGCTGACAGAGCTATGCATATATATGGTTAATAATTCTACTATTGATACAATTGAAATTTTTGAATTAAAATTTAAACAATTTTTATTATTATTGAATGCTTTAAGTAAATGAATGTCATAGAATCCACTAATTGTCTCAATTAGTTTTGAAATACAATAGTATAATGATAAAGTTATTTGTTTGATAAAGAATTAAAAAAAATTTATGGCTCTTGGTATAAGTCCTAAAAGAAATCAATAATAGTTTCAATTCATTTTAATTCGAACCTCCTTAAATTTTCAGTGTGTCTAAGACTCTAAATATACGCATGTATATGACTATAGGTGTCATATCATGGAGATGTATCATAAATTTACATAATCTATTGACAGATATTGGTACCATTTTGCAAGTAGATGTAGTAGGGATGAGAATTTGCCTAAAACGGGGTTTTGACATAATACTGTTCAACTGATCTATTACATCTGAAAGCGCAAAAGTTTACATCACCAAAAGTGCGATTTATTTACTTTATTTATTACTAGTCTCAATAGAATCTAAATGGAGATCGATCGATATCGTATGCCATAATTTGGGCCCTGCATTGTAGGTCCATGATTAGCCATGTGGTCTTTACATATAAAGATCTATATACCCATCAAATTTTAAAATAATCGGTTAGTGGTTCAGGTGTGATTGAATAAAAATAAAAGCTTGATGCTGTGCAAGTTTTATCGAAATTAATCTATAATAAATATATAAAATATATATAATATAATTTTTATACCCTACACCACTTTAGTGGGGAGGGTATATTGGATTTGTGCTGATGTTTGTAACATACAAAAATATTCGTCCTAGACCCACCTTAAAGTATACCAATCGGCTTAGAATCGTTTTCTGAGTCGATTAAGCTATGTCCGTCCGTCCGTCTGGCTGGCTGTCCATGTAAACCTTGTGCGTAAGGTACAGGTCGCAATTTTCAAGATAATCGGATGAAATTTGGCACACACGTTTTATTTGACCCAAGGACGAAGCCTATTGAAAATGGTTAAAATCGGTCCATTATTTCACCTAGCCCACATAGAACAGAACCCCCCGAAAAGGGCTTCTGAGCTCATAATTATGTTAAATATACAGATATATCGATAAAATACGGCACAACTAAGTTTTATAGAAGTCTTGATGACCCTGCCAAATTTCATAAAGATCGGGCCCCATTTGACCCTAGCTCCCATACAAAGTCCCCTTCAGAAAATTACTTGAATGTCCCAAATTATCTTATAAACACAATAAAATATTATGTAAATATAAATATATTCACAAAATTTTATCGGGCTTGGTCCAAATTTGCCCCTAGCCCCCATATAAAGCCTCTTTCAGAAAATTAGTTTTTCATCCATAAATTGCTTAAATGTATCGGAACAAGGGAATATTGAAGATAAATGCTTTATTATGAAAAATAAATCACATTTAATATTCATAACTGGTGTAGGGTATCATATGGTCCGCCACGCCAGACTATACTTTCTTACTTGTTTTTTTAAACAAAAATATATGGATATACCCATTTATTATATTTTAGGAATAGATTTTGGCAAGTTGTGACTTGAATTTTTTACTGAAATTTTGGACAGGGATAATTATCAATCTGAGGATATTTTAAAAAAATATGAAAAATATTCAATTCGAAATATACAACTTGAGGTTATTATTTTAAGTAGAATTTTGAAAACAATTGTTTGACACTTCCAAAAGGTAATCTTTGTAAAAAATCTTTCGAATAAAATGTTTAACATTTTCTTAAATTAAAACAAATATAAATATAAAAATACAATAAGGGCATTCAAGTTACCGTTTTTTCTTTTGCTAAATTGCGAAAAAGAAGAATTTTACACTAGTTGGCGTGAGTATCCTTTTTTGCAATAATATTTAAATTTTTGAGTCAAAAAGAACTTAAATTTAAAAAATAAAATTGATTTAGTTTTTAATAACTGAATCCTGTTTGTATAGAACATAGAAGTACATATGTATACTTTAAAAGCAGAAATCTTCGTCTTTCCATTGCCGTTTAAGAAAACAAAATCGAGCTAGGAAAATATGAGATAAGTCCCTGATTTTCAGGGTATATTCAAAATTTGAAATAGATCTACGAACTGCATTAGGTCAGAAAGTGAGTAAATTTTCACTGCTACACCATATATATAACTAATGTCTATGATAATTTACAATAAATAATAAATTTTTATTTATTTATAACCGTAAATAACAGAACTCTATTCCGATCGAAAGTGGAACTATTTCCTTATTTTTGCTTCTTCAGAAAAAGAAAACGAAAAATACGGAACTGAAACTATTCCGATCGAAATGTGGCTTTTCATAATTGAAAGAAAATGTAGAAAAACAGTCATGAAGAATAAATTCAAATAAATAAATAAATAAATAAATAAATAAAAAGGGAAGAAAACCACAAAATGAAAAGCATGCAAAATTCAACGTAAAAGTTAATTTGATCAAAATTGTTATACAACTAAGGCACTTACTTTTAATTTTGTCATTAAAATACAGTTACGTTTCAACATTTTAATTTGTAGTGTGTGTGTGTGGTATGTTTTTTGTATGTATGTATGTGTATAAATAACATACATGTGTATATTATATACATATGCAAATAATATTATTTATTATAACTTTTATTTATTAATTAATTGTTTTGTTGGCATAAAAGATTATAACCGATGCACTTTAGTTAGACTTATAAATTTTTCGTAACATAAATAAATATTCATTATTATTGTTAATTTTGTTTTTAAATTTTAAATTAATAAATTTGACTAAAAACATTTTGAAATAAATTTACTATCTACTATAATCTTAATTATTATAATGGTGGTCCGTTTAAGAAAAGTTTTGATCATGCAATTTTTCTACTATTATAATAAATACTATTTAATAAAATATTTGATTTATTGGAAGAATTACCACTTAAATATTACGTATATTCAATGGTATACAAATTAAGTTCTTCATAATTAAAAAAGAGTTATTCAACACTTTTGGGACACTTTTCAAATAAATATTTAAACACACATATAAATTTGATGAATCTTATGGATCCTGATCTCTTTCCAATATGTATATGCTTTAATAGTCTTAATGTTAAATTAATTCAATAGAAATAAAAAATATTCATGTCAAATCAAGTTGAGATAGCCAGTGAAATACCAAACGGGAAATCCCGATTCCCGAAAATGATATATAATTATATACAGACAACGATTTTATTTAAATACAAGCTTATAACTTTTTGGAAACGATTAAAAAAAAAATAATTATGTATTCTCAAAACAAAAGAGTTACTCCGTGTTTTGTTTTTAATTGAGTTACAAATCAACATCCCATTATCTGTGTGCAGTTTAAATTTGCACGAAAATAAAATGATAGTAGTTATTTATTTTATTGTTTAGGATCTCAATCCCTTAAGAAAAAATGTATGCCTATAACTTATATCACATTCATATGACGAGTTTGAGACGGATCCAACAGATTTCTTCAAAAGTGTTATAAGTTATCAAGGCATCTTTGGCACAATATTGTTTAACTCTTGCTGTTTTATCAACGCACAAAATATATGTACCTTGTTTTATTTTATGACGTTTCCCAAATACATTCACAATCAACTTTGTGAATCAACAGTTCACGGAAATAACACAATAGGATAATTTTATTAAAGTAAACAATACTCGCGATAGGAATGAACATTAAATAAATTAGATTAAAAACATAAGTTGTCCAGCTTATAAACATCTATCAACAAATCCATATTTTTTGGAAAACATCATAAAACAAACTCTTGAAAATATATAATATTTAAATAAGACAAAACATATTTTTGTAATAAATCAGGAACTATTAGACCAATCATATATTTTCTTTTAAAATTAGGATTTAGTTCAAAGTTGTTTTAAACAATATTTTAGATTTAAATTTATGAAAGTCGATGTTTATTTCAATAGAGTTCTCAAAATTTACAATTAAAAACTAAAGTTTTTGGTCAAAGTATAATAAGTAGTCCGACTCTTTGACAGCAGTACCTAACTTTTACTGTATTGGTAACAAAAATTTACATGGAGTTTTATAAGAAATTACAATTTTAATTTTCAAAATTGTGAAAATTACATTTTCAATACCAAATATTGAAACTCTGTTTGTAAATTAAAATTCAACCACAACAAAAATGAAATGTCAACAATTAGAAAAAATATTTTATTTCAGTTTAAGAAAATTAAATAAAATTTTAAATTGAAAGTACATTAAAACTATTAAAAAAAATGCATTTTTGGCGGGTAACTGCAATTAAAAGTGGTCAAAAAAATAAGATAAACTTTTGAGTGTTTTGACAAGTTTAAAGAATTCACACGGCACTCGTAGGTGTAAGAGTGCCGTGTAAGGTTATACCCTTTTGCATTTCAGTTAACAATACACTATAGTCAAACATATTTTTAAACGCATGCCATTTTTTATTTCCATCTGATTTTAAATATTTATATACACTCCTTGCCTACGGCCATGTCAAATTTCATTCCTAGGATCTGCCGTTTAGAAATTCTAGA